TTTATTTTATTTTTGAGTCAGAGTCTCACTCTGTCACCCAGGCTGAAGTGCAGTGGCACATTCACGGCCACCGCAGCCTCTACCTGCTGGGCTCAGGCGATCCTTCTTTCTCATCCTCCCAAGGAGCTGGAATCACAGGCGTGTGCCACCACTGCCAGCTAATTTTTTAGTTACTGTAGAGACAGGGTCTCACCAAGTTGCCCGGGCTGGTCTCAAACTCCTGGGCTCAGACACTCCTCTCGCCTCTGCCTCCCAAAGTGCTGGGATGACAGGCGTGAACCACTGTGCTCGTCTTGATTTTTTGATTTATTGTAGAGACGTGGTCTCACCAAGTTGCCCAGGCTGGCCTTGAACCCTGGACTTGGGCGATCCTCTTGCCACCACTTCCCAAGGGGCCGGGATGACAGGCATGAGCCATGGCGTCCGGCCCTCAGCACAGTATTAAGGATGTGCTCTGCACTCAGGGAACACTCAGGGAACCGGCTGGTGGACTCCACAGCTGGTGCTCATTCCTGTCCCTCAGCATTTTCTCTCCCTGCAGAGAATTGAAATTGGCTCCTCCTCTCTTCCATCTACCAGCTCAGCTACACACCCCCTCTTCCAGAATCTCTCCTCACGTAACTCTCCCAGCCTGCCTGGATGTTCGGGTCTCCCTCAGCACAGAGCCCTTGCTGAGGGCTTCTTCTAAGTCCTCACCTTTCACCGGTCTCTATTTTACAACCACTTTAAATTCCGTAAGGACGAGAACCACAGTTTTATTTCTAAAGCTATGTCAATACTTACATGCCAGTCGGGTGCTGTGGCTCACACCTGTCATCCCAGCACTTTGGGAGACAGAGGCGAGAGAATTGCCTGAGCTCAGGGGGTTGAGATCAGCCCGGGCAACTTGGCGAGACCTAGTCTCTACAATAAATCAAAAAATTAGCCGGCCGTGGTGGCGTGTGCCTGTGGTTCCAGTTCCTTGGGGGGCTGAGGCAGGAGGATTGTCTGAGCCCAGGAGGTTGAGGCTGCAGTGAGCCGTGATCATGCCACTGCACTCCAGGTAAAAAAAAAAAAAAGGCCACATGCCTGGTTCATTTTTTTTTTCACATATCCCTAAATCCTGTCCAGAGCTGAGCTGAAACAAATGTGTCTGGGCAAGTGTCCCTAGACACTGCAGACATTCTCTTATTTAATCATTCAACAAACATTTCCCAAGCACCTTCACGGGACAGGCACAGCGGATCTGGAACATGGTGGCAAATAAACACATGGCCCCTGCCCTAGGGGAGCCTACAATGGGCAGCCATCACTGAACGTATAAAGAAAACATGAGCAAATTGAATTAAGCGGTCACCGGCTATTTACTGAATATTTCTTGAATAGGAAAATGGAGAAATTGAATACTGAAACCGAGTAAAGCTGTTATAGCCAAACATTTATTTTGCATCCTATAAATAAAATAGCCATTGGAGTTGTATTTGAAATGAAATCCTATCACTTAGGAATTTTTTTTTCCTAAAGGTGGAGTCTTGCCATGTTGCCCAGGCTGGCCTCAAACTCCTGGGCTCAACTGATTTTCCCTCTTCAGCCTCCCAAAGTGCTGAGATTACAGTAAGGTACCACACCTGGCAGAAGTTTTTAATATAGCCGGGTCTCAGTTTCCCCATCTGTAACATGGGAATGATTGTGTAGGTGGGTCTAGAGGATAATCAGTGCAGACTGTGTCATCCAGTGCCTGGTGCTTAGTGGCCCAGTGAATAGCTCGTGGTATTCTTTTCACATGATTTTGTTTTATACCCATTGATGCATGTGGGTGCATAAAGGGAAAAAAGCGAAATGCCACCTGAACCCCTCCATTCTTATTTCAACAGAAAGAGGACCTGCCAGACCCACAGACAACCGAGCTGTACGAATTCCGCTTCAGCGACTTCCCCGTCACCGAGCACGAGCTGATTAAATGTGGACTGCGGCTGTTTTTTGAAATAAACGTGGTGGAGAAATTCAAAGTGCCCGTAGAGGTCAGAGAGGATTTAACTTAAAACACCGTGTGACTCTGTCTCTCTCCTTCCCTCGTGTTACCTGTGGTTCCAGAGATGGGCTCAGTTGGAATCTTAAATTATGATTAACTTTCTAAATACATCAGTTGAAACCCTGTCAACAAGACCAACACAGCTTTTTAGATAAGCTGGTCGCAGACCTTCCAACCTTTACAGTTCGATTCCAAAGTCTGAGTGGTGTTGACTTCTCTTGGGAACAGGTTCTCACCAGATGGATGTACACGGTGAGGAAAGGGTACCGCGCTGTCACCTACCACAACTGGCGACACGGCTTCAACGTGGGCCAGACCATGTTCACTCTGCTGATGGTAGGTTCGGTGTGCTGGGAATCACCGTCAGCCGGTGGGTCTGTCATTTGGGATCAGTCATTTTAAAATTCAGAGCACAAGCCCCACCCCCTACAGATGGCCCCATGGAAGGCAGGGAGCTCTGAGCACTTGGCAGGGTGGTGAACCCTCATTTACAGACAAGGCCCGACAGTTAGGTTTGCCAGCCATTCTAGAAAAAGTGCCACATGCCTCATTGCTGAACATTACTACGGTCACCTTCCAAGTACTCCCCTTGGGAAGCTATGCGCTGACACCAGCACTCAGTTCACCTGTCAAGGCAATTTTGGAACTCTTTCTGGAATTAAGTCTGCGGACTTGCCACCGTGTGCTTATGAGGACAGTACTGTATAAGTCACCAAATTGGAACACCCTCCCTACTCACCTGATCTGGCTCCCAATGACTTTTTTTTTTAATCCAAAGATAAAGGAAATACTGAAAGGAAGACATTTGATGACTTTCAGGACATCAGGGGTAATATGGCAATGGCTCCGATGGCCATTCTAGAAAAAGAGTTCCCAAATTGCTTTGACGAGTGGACCAGGCGCTGGCGTGGGTGCATAACTTCCCAAGGGGAGCACGTTAAAGGTGACCGTAGTGACATTCAGCAATGAGGCATGTAGCACTTTTTCTAGGATGAGGAATCTAATCGTCGAACTGCATACTTAGTTCCTTAGAGGAAAAGTCAGTCGCCTGCTTGGTTCTGTCATCACCCAGAATGCTTCAGTGCTCGCAAGAAATACAGCGAACTTGCGCGAAAAACGTGACGGGTCCATTCTCCGTTTGTAGGCAGGTTTTGCTGCGTTGGCATGGAGGGGGAAGTAATCCAAGTAAATGCCATCGTTATGTATGTATATGCATTTTTTTTTTTTTTTAGACAGGAAGACTAAAGAAATACTACACAGACCTGGAAGCCTTTGCCATGCTCGCTGCCGCTTTCTGTCATGACATTGACCACAGGGGCACCAATAATTTGTACCAGATGAAGTAAGTGAACACACTTGCAAGGCTGGCACGTCCTGGTGGATATTCGAGGGCCCTGAAGGCAATCTGAAAGCTGTCCCCTGTCCCAGTCAATTCTTCTTTGCCACATTTGGAATCTCAGGCCAGACTCTGTTCCCTCCCAAGCTTCCACGCGATGATAACGCTTGCTTTTTCTCCCTGGGTGCTGGCATGATTCGTATTACTGTTATTGTTACATCATTGGCCTCATTCGTATTTGCCTTTAGTCTTTCTTCACCTTTGTTTATTACTTATTTATTTATCGTATTGTATTTTTTGAGTCAGGGTCTCTGTTGCTCAGCAGGAGGGTGGTAGCTCGATCATGACTCACGGCAGCCTTGACCTCGTGGGCTCAGGTGACCCTTCTGCCTCAGTTTCCCGAGTAGCTGGGACTACAGGCGCGCACCCCTGCACCTGACTAATTTTTTGTTTGTTTTTGTAGAGACACGATCTTGCTCTGTTGCCCAGGCTAGTCTCGAACTCCTGGGCTCCAGCAATTCTCTCGCCTTGGCCTCCCAAAGTGCTGGGGTTATAGGCGTGAGCCACCACGCCTAGCTTAGCTTTGTGCATTCAGAGTGCTGCATTAGTCCACGAAAGTGCGCTAGTTGTATACACACATAGAACGCTCCCAGTTCAAGCTGGAGAGCACTGCTCCTGGCTCACTGCCCCCATGGCCTGGTCCTTTTGCTTCTATTGAACTCTCCTTCGGCGGGTCTTCCATCTCCTATCTTAACATCGGTGCCATCTCCCTCTCTTGCTCCAAGAAAGGAAGTGCAGTGGAAGGGTGCAGGCTCTCTGCTTAGTCAGATTTGGACTCACTGGGTTCACAAATTATTCACACGTCCTAAATCCCAGTTCCTCATGTGGAAAGCAGAAATTATAATAACGTACCTAGCACGTAAGATTATTGTAGCGATGGATTCAGAGCATGTAAAGCCTTCCGCTCACCGCAGGCTCTTGGCAGGTAGTAAGTATTAGGTATTATTATTTTCTCTTTTCTTTCTCTGTTTTTTTAGAGACAGGGTCTCATTTGACAACCAGGCTGGAGTGCAGCGGCGCTATCCTGGCTCACTGCAGCCTCAACCTCCTGGGCTCAAGGGATTCTCTTGCCTCAGCTTCCCAAGTAGCTGAGACTACAGGTGTGAGCCACCAGGCCTGGCTCATTTTAAAATTATTTTGTCTATAAAAAAATAAAATGGGGTCTCGCTATGTTTCCCCAGCTGGTTTCTAATTCCTAGGCTCAAGCAATCTTCCCACCTTAGCCTCCCAACATGCTGGGATTACAGACCTGAGCTGCAGCGCCTGGCCAGGTATTATTGTAATTACTGTTGTAATAAATAAATAAATAAATAAATAGATATTTCATTCCTAAATATTTCAGCATGTGTTTCCTAAGAGTTAGGGGAACACTCATCTACATAGACACAATATAATGATCACCCGCAGGAAATGTAACAGTGGTACAAGATCTACTATAGAATGTTAATTCACAATTTTCCCATCACCTCACTAATGTCCTTGGTAGCTAACTTTCCTCTGATTCAGGATCTAATCCAGGATCACGTTTTGCATTTAGTTGTCAAGTATCTTTCATCCTTTGGTCTTTTTTTTTTTTTTTTTTGAGTTGGAGTCTCACTCCGTTACCCAGATTGGAGTGCAGTGGCTGCTTCCGGCCACTGCAGCCTCGACCTGCTGGGCTCTGGCGATCCTTCTGCCTCAGCCTTCCAAGTAGCTGGAACTATAGGCGCACGCTACCATGCCCAGCTAATTTTTAAATTTTATTTTATTGTAGAGATGAGGTCTCACCAAGTTGCCCAGGCGGGTCTCGAACCCGCGGGCTCAGGCAATCCACTCACCTCAGCCTCCCAAAGTGCTGGGATTACAGGCTGAGCCACTGAGCCCGGCTCATCCTTCGGTCTTAACCTCTTTGTGTCTTTCAGGACGTTGATGTTTTTGGAGAGTTGAGGCCAGGTATTTGGCAGACGACTCTTCCATTTGGATTGATCCAACTGTTTCCTGATTAGTGACTTCCGAGTAAACATTCTGTGGCAGGAATTCTACATAGATGATGCCGGGGCCTTCTCAATGTCTTGCATGAGGAGGCCTGTGATGCCAGTTTTCTTGGTTTGTTTTTTGAGTTGGGGTCCCTCTGTGTCTCCCAGGCTGGAGGGCAGTGGCACGATCATGGCTTATGCCACCTTTACCTTCTGGACTCAGGTGATCCTTCCGCCTCAGCCTCACGAGTAGCTGGGACTAGCCTCGCACTACCACACCGGGCTAATGTTTTGATTTTTGCAGAGATGAGATCTCGCTATATTGCCCTGGCTGGTCTTGAACTCCTGGGCTCAAGCAATCCTCCCACCTCGGCCTTGCAAGGTGCTGGGACTACAGGCGTGAGTCACCGTGTCCAGTGATGATTTCAGTTCTATTGATGGCTGATGTCTAGCAGATCTGTTTATGTAAAGGAACACCTCTTTTGTAATTCGTAAGTAATATGTGAGGTGTTATTTTGAGATTGGAGAAATATCTTGCACCCCAACATTTTTGACATGTTTTTAAAAACACTATTCCTGGCCAGGTTCAGTGGCTCAGCCTGTAATTCCAGCACTTTGGGAGGTTGAGGCGAGTGGATTCCTGGGCCCATGGGTTCGAGACCAGCCCTGGCAACTTGGCGAGACCTCATCTCTTCAATAAAATAAAAAATAGCTGGGCGTAGTAGCACGCGTCTGTAGTTCCTGCTACTTGGAAGGCTGAGGCAGAAGGATTGCCAGAGCCCAGCAGGTCGACGCTGGGGTGGCTGTGAGTGTTCCACTGCACTCCAGCCTGGGCGATGGAGTGAGACTCCAACTAAAAAAAAAAACCCGAACAAGCAAAAACACCATTCCTTTCTAAGCTTGATTCATTTTTTAAAATATATATATTTGTTACGAAATACTAGATGTACATATTTTGGGCTCCTATATGATATTTTGATACATTAATATAATGTGTAATAATCAAATCAGGATAACTGGGAAACCCATCACCTTACTTAAACATTTATGTTTTCTTTCTGCTGGGAATATTCGAGTATTTCTCTACTGGCTATTTTGGAATATCCAATAGATTATTATTGTTTGCTATAGTCACTCTACTGATTTCTCAAACACTACGTCTCATTTCTTCTTACCTGCCTGTATTTCTGTGCCCATTTATCAACCTTGCTTCAACCCATTAAACTTCCCTCCCCTTCTTGGCCTCTAAAAACACCAAACGACTCTATCTTCGGATGAAGGGAATGGGGCAGACATGCAAAATGGAATATTACTCAGCCACAAAAAAAAAAAAAAAAAAAAAGAAATCTTGTCATTTGCAGAACCATGGATGGAACTAGAGGTCATTATAGTAAGTGAAATAAGATGCAAAATGGAATATTACTCAGCCACAAAAAAAAAAAAAAAAGAAATCTTGTCATTTGCAGAACCATGGATGAAACTAGAGGTCATTATAGTAAGTGAAATAAGCCAGGCACAGAAAGACAAACGTCACACATTCTCACTCACATGTGGAAGCAAAAAAAGTAGGTCTCATGGCGATAGAGAGCAGTTGGGTCTTTACCAGAGGCTGAACTCTACTCATTTTAAAAAATTGCTGATGCCAGCCGGGCGTGGTGGCTCACACTTGTAATTCTGGCACTATGGGAGGCCCAGTTGGGAGGATGGCTTGAGTCAAGGAGTTTGAGACTAGCTGGGGCAACATAGGAAGAACCTCATCTCTATGAAAAATAAAAAAATTAGGTGGGCATGGTGGCGCACACCTATAGTCCTAGCTACTCAGGAGGCTGAAGTGGAAGGATTGTCTGAGCCCAGGAAGTCGAGGCTGCTGTGAGCTATGACCATTGTGATTATGCTACCGCACTCCAGTCTGGGTGACAGAGTGAGAACTCTCCCCATTCAAATAAATAAATAGGTAAATAAATGAATAATCTCCAATGCCAACACAGAGTAGGTATTGGAATATGTGTTAACATTATGATCAATTATAATATCGAACAATTCAACTATGCTGATCCCCAACTAGAATGTTTGCTTTACCAGACCTGTTGGCAACCTGGCAATGATCCCTCCTCTCCCTAAAGTTCTGTCCGCCATGAAATAAAATAAAACTTTGCCACAGAGGCTGCCATGTGTATTTTTAATTTTTTCCTTCCTTAAAATAATTTATTCCATATTTCCATGACAAAGTCTTCACATAATCTGTAGACCTCTGACCTCAGCCTTTTTGTCACCCTGAAGACTAAAAAAAAAGCAATGGACCCAAAGTGTTTCCCACTTACGGAAAGCTGTCATCCAATCATGAACAAATGGGAGTTCTCCATTTACACTGATGTCGCTGTCTTGGGGGAGGAGATAAATGTCATTTTCTAGTGATTTTCCTCTTGGTTCTAGACCGGTCAGCTACAGGCTTCCACAGGTTTGTTGTGTGTTTATAAGTGCCATAAACCCCAGGGAACTAAGATTTTAGCTACAACGGATGAACCAAGCTTCTAACTTTAAACAATTCACTCATTTAAGTAGCCAACAAATTAAGTGTTTCCGCCCCCCCCAAAAGAGCATATTCTCATTTTCTAAATCTAAAAAATATTTTCTAATATGTTCTTTTTGACCGCTTCACAGATGTCGGGTGGGGAGAGAGAAGAGAGACTTTAAAAAAAAAAATCCTGAGACAGTAAAGATTCTGAATTGTATGGATTTGGGTGCAATTTATAAGCAGCTAAAATTATGGTATATCCTTTCCCTCCTAGGTCCACGTCTCCGTTGGCAAGGCTCCACGGGTCTTCTATTCTGGAAAGGCACCACTTGGAGTATAGTAAGACTCTCTTGCAGGATGAGGTAAGTGCACCTCCTTCTAGGACGGCCACACGTCTGGATCAAAGCACCAACCCACAGAAAATGCTTGAAGGAAGGGCATCCTTGAGTATGGGCATTGACAGTATATCCCGTGATCAAAGTCAATCGCTGGAAATTGCTTTTTTGCTGTTTGAGTCGGAGTCTCACTGTTGCCCAGCCTGTAGTGCAGTGGCATGGCTCACCACATCCTTGACCTCCTGGGTTCAGGCGATCCTTCTACCTCAGCCTCCCTAGATGCTGGGACTACAGGCATGCACCACCACACCTGGCTAAATTTTTGATATTTTGTAGAGACGAGGCCTCACTATATTGCCTAGGCTTGCTTCAAACTCCTGGGCTCAAGCGATCCTCCTGCCTAGGCCTCCCAGGATCTGGAATTACAGGTGTGAGCCACTGTGCCTGGCCACCCTTTATCAATTTTATTTAAGGGGTAGATAGGCATGTGGAAAAGTTGTGGATATGATCTAATCAGACTTTCTTAAGAAAGTTCTAAACCAAACACGATTAAAACAAGTCACTGTTAGATTGAGGGGAACACAGTTTTGTTGCAGGCAGAGAAGCTGTTCAGAATCACACACTCAGGACAGATAGATAAACCTCCTGGAGACAGGACATTCCTGGGTTTCAATAACCATCTTTCCTTAAAAACTCAGGGAGGGAATATACAGAAATATGTCCAGGTTTAGAGAGAAGACTATGTTCTTCTAGGTGATGAAAAGCCAAGGTGGTTCACATAAGTCAAGAGAGAAGGTGACGGGGCAGAAAACAAGAACAGAAGCAAAAAGGTTTGAGGTTTTAGGCAATGTGTAGCGAACACAGCACCCAATGCCACGCCGCCCTGAGCCTGCAGTGGCACTTTAATTCTCCAAGGCTCCTGAGAACCACTAACCTGGTGTGACTCCAGGTAGTGGCTCTCAGACGTGGGTACCTGGGCCAGCTGACTCAGAACCATCCGTTTAATGGGGCAGGGTTGGGGCAGGCTAGTAAAAGCACAGACCTCCAACCTTTACTGACCAGACTTTCTAGACCCAGGGCCTGGGAACCTGCATTTTAAACCAACCCTCTCTTAATTCTGATGCCCAGAGAGAATCTCTCCCTGCAGCAAAATTCATAGCACAGACCATATCTGTTCTGGGACAATAAAAAGGAGTAGCACTGAAAGTAATTCAGGAAGGTAAGAAGACATCGCTATGATTGAATTTGTGACGAGTTTTTGTTTTGCTGGTTGGGACCAGCTTTGGTTTCTGCGTAAGAATTTTCCATACATTCTACTGTTTATAGGCTATCACAGCGAGGCCGTGTCAAATGTATCAAGTATATAATGACTTGCCAAAGCAAAATACACTTTCACAACTGCAGCCAAATATCGAAATGCTTACCACTGGAAGGCTCCTATCTTCCTAAATGTTTTTCCTTCTGGGACTCCACAGTTTGTAACAGAATTATGGTCTCCCTCTTAATTTTTTTATGTTATTGACTTTGCAGTCTGAACTGGCTCTGATGGCTATATAAAGACTTATAATTCTTTCTAAAAAGGAATATTGCCTCTCAGGAAGCCATGCCATCTTTTCCAGAACCTCTCTACAATACCATTCGACCTGTTAATTACAGACTTTTAAAGCCTTGTCAATAGAGTCGCTAGGCGATGAAGTCATACACAGCTTGTTTATGAGCCGTCAAATTGAGCCCTAAAAAAAAAAAAAAAAAGAAAAAGAAAAAGAAAGTTCAAGCCATCAGGTATTCTTTTTACATGTTGGAGAGACAGTGTAGTACTTTAACGTTTTTATTCTATCAACAAAATATACACATTAAAATTTAAATTTTTTCATCTTTATTTTAGATTCAGGGTAGAATTGTAGTTTTTTTTTTATGTAGGGGAAATCCTTGAGATTTATCTAGTATTTTTGGCATTTGTGGGCATTCCTCAATTTGTTTTTCATATGACAAGGGTTTGAATGGAAATGTCCTTATGTCCCAGCAGAGATGGATTCACTGCTGTGAAGACCACAACTGCTGTATTCTAAACCCGACAGAAATTAACCCTTTAACCTGAATGAATAAGTGGAAATCTTGTTGGCCAAATCTGTGGGATCATATATTTTAATATTAGAATATACTGTAGAAGGCTGGGCCCGGTGGCTCACACCCATAATTTCAGCACCTTGGGAGGCTGAGGTGGAAGGATCACCTGAGCCCAGGAAGTCGAGGCTGTGGTGAGCCATGATTGTGCCACTACGCTCTAGCCTGGGTGACAGAGTGAGACCCGAACTCAAAAAAATACTGTAGAAATGACAAAATAAATAGCTCAGTATTAATAGTTGAACCCTGTGATTATTCAGAACATTTCTTTACAAAGTGTGCGATGATTTTGTTTATGATTTGTCATACCAACCCCATCATCCTGTCCCGTTTTATTCAAAGAAGGAGTGAAGGAGAAATTAAATACCTGTGTCCAGCCACCAGCGAGGCAAATACCTGTTGGCAATATCCTCTCGTGGGTATTGCCAACCCCACGCTGAAGATTAGAATGGCCCGAACTGCCTCTGGCCTCGGCAAGCTTAGGGGACCCCAGTCAGAGTGAATTAAAGCTGTTTCTATCTGTTGGCATGTGCCACACGTAATTCATATTTTTATTGCCATTAATAGCCAAGGAAGAATAAAAATAGGGCCTTTCTGTGAGCAAAGGAAACCAGCGGAGCAGGCCAGCTGGACAGGGGCTGGGAAACAGGTTTCCTCTCTTTACCTTTTGCCTCTGTCTCTATACAAGGCACAGGAAAACAACTGGAATATTACAATCTTGTATATGCCTTGGCTTATGAATTAATAGCTGTAAAAATTACACGTGCCCTTGGCAAAAATGTAAACGACAGGAAAAACTTCAAAGACAAATATTAAAGCAAATAATTTCTAATTCATACACACATTTCATTCACATTTGATGGATTTCAGGGCAGTCACCCTGTGACTCCGGGAAACTACTTTTGAAAAATGGGGTCACACTACCCATGCGATTTTTTAAAAGTCGGAGTTATGTTTTGGAACCAACTTCGTTGAGATGTGATATCTGTACCATGAGCTGCATCTCCTTAGAGTGTGCAGTTCTATGGGTTTTGACCGTTTGCTACACCTGGGTAACCCCAAGCACAATCAAGACACAGAACTTACATCACCCACACATACGTCTCTGCTCCCAGCTCCAGGCAGCCACCGCCATGTTCTCAGTTGCTGTGGATTAGTTTGCATTTTCTAGATTTCACAGAAGTGCAATCATACAATAAGTATTCTTTTGTGCTGGCTTTTTTCTTGCAGAATAATGATTTTGAGATTTTTGGGGGGTATTATTGTATATATCAGTGATCTACTTATCCTCATCATTGCTGAGTAGAGTTCCATTTATCTTAAATAAAAGATAGCACGTTTAATTTTGTGTGTGTGTGTGTTGGGGGTCTCACTCTGTCACCCAGGCTGGAGTACAGTGGCACCGTCATGGCTCACTGCAACCTCGACCTTCTGGGCTCACTCAGGTGATCCTTCTGCCTCAGCCTCCTGAGTAGCTGAGACTACAGGCACGCACCACCACACTCAGCTCAACTCATTATTTTAACAAAATGAAACTCAGTTTTCCTTTCTATTACTTACTACATACGCTTTATAAAACATATTTTTCTTGTCCTAGAAGTTCTCAAAATATGACTCAAGTGAAGTTTTATATAATGCATAGTATGGTGTCTTAAGACTTGAATTCTTGTCCAATTATTGCTTTCTAATGTTTTGATCTCCCGAATGACTGAGAGCCATATTTGGTCTGGGGTTTGCAATTCTATTTTGACCTGGAGCTAGCCTCAAACTGTACATAAGAGTAATGATACAACAATACATTTCATTAAAAAAAATTTGCAGTTTTAAAATGCATTCCCAGTTATCATGTCATTGGATTCAACGTTCCACAAATATTCATTGAGTGTAAGCACAGAGTGCTAGGCAGTTAGGCGGGGTCACCGTTACCATGCCCATCTGAGCAAATACCCACTTATGTGTAGTGAAGTGCCCAGGTTTACGACTGCCCAAGTGGGAGGCTGGGAACTGACCTTCGACTCCTTCTGGAGAGGTGGTGTAGTACAGAGGTTAAGTGCACAGACTTCCGCAGCCAGCTATATTGACTTAGATACCAGTTCTGCCACATTCTAGCTGTTTAACCTTGAGCCAGTTACTTAGCCTCTCGGTGCTGTGGTCTATTATGAGGTGATGAAGAGTATTCATAAAACACTTAGAAACTGGCAGGTCCAGAGTGAGACTCTGACTCAAAAAAAAAAAACAAGAAAAAAGAAAATGGCAGATAGTAAGAACTAAGGTTTGCTGTTATTATTTGGTGCTCAGTCTGATATTCTTTTCTACAGTATGCTACCTCTAGCTCTACAATGGGTTACTAATAGACTCTCTCCTCTTTCTAGTGGAATTTTTGTTTTGTAACTGCCAACTTCTCTTGGCAAAACCACTATATATAACTGTCCTCTGACCTGGATGACTAGGACGGTCTACTTGGAATATAAAGGCTTTAGAAAGTCACCACGCATGGTGGCTCACGCCTGTAATTCCAGCGCTTTGGGAAGCTAAGGTGGGAGGATCGCTTGAACCCAGGGGTTCGAGACCAGCCTGGGCCACATAGTGAGATCTCATCTCTAGAAAAAATTGAAAACTTAGCCAGGTGTGATTGGCTACTCAGGAGACTGAGGCGAAAGGATCTCCTGAGCCCCAGGGGTGGAGGCTGGGGTGAGCCATGATTGCACCACTGCACTCCAGCCTGGGCAACAGAGTGAGACCCTGACTCAAAAAAACCAAAAACCAAACAAAACCTTTATACTCTCATTTTCTAGAACACTAAGAAATGGAGCTGATCCATATGGAATGAGAAACTCTTTGAAGAAAGGTCTAGTTAAGTCTTAGTAAAATATAATTGCAAGAAAACACTTAAAGGAGAACATGAAAGGATTTCATTATTTTTTCCCTACCCATACATGAGTACGAATGCAACTTGGTTTCTGGAAGATCAGTGGTTTCCACAATCCTTCTAAGATTACCTGGAAGAGGATGCCACATGTCTAGCAATTGAACACGTCCCATAAATTCTTTATTAAAGTCCCTCAATTAATACAAGCAAATTCTTAATCTACTGTTATTTATTTTAATGGCCCTGGAAGAAAACACTTATTTATTCCCAAACCTGAACATTGATTACATGAATATATGCTATCGTATCTATTTTTATAGTTTAAATTATCTTACTCGGGGGCTTACTTAGTCCATGAGATGAAAACCGAAAGTAAAAAAGTGTGGTAAGATGTAGATTTTCTTCTTGTTTAAGTATAAGTCGGTTTGTTTGTTCAATCAAAGGCAAATTAATGATTGCGCTTCATTGTGAATTTCTGTTTCACAGAGTTTAAACATCTTTCAGAACCTCAATAAGCGGCAGTTTGAAACAGTTATTCATTTGTTTGAGGTTGCGATAATAGCAACTGACCTGGCTTTATATTTCAAGTAAGTACAGAACTCTGCATAGCTGGATATCACTACCTCTGGCTATGTTCTACCTTCCATAAATTATCTGTTAAGTTAAAAGGCATTTATTTACACACACACACACACACACACACCTGTTTGGTTTCCTTTTGGATTATGCATTAGAGTACTCTCAAGTCTAACAGTAAATATTCTAGACATTTGGGAAAATGTTTTCGAAACTTCAGTTCCAAGTGTTAAGTAACTTGTAATCTGAAGAAATCTGAACTGAAGAATATGCGTCAAGTTTGTGCATTGTCCGAAGAGGCCAAACGACCTTGCAAGGTGGCTTTCTGTCCTGATGAATTCTCCAGGTTCCAGAATTTAGTGTTTCCACACTGGTATCTAGTGCTTCAAGCTCAGAAATCTGATCCTGTTGAAGGAGTTGAAGAATTTTGGTGACACTGACTCCCATCAACCAAACTTACAAAACCAAGTGGTATATAGCAGAGTGCCAGCCTATTTACAATGATAATATTGCCAAGGAGACCAGACATACCGAGTATCTGCACGTTTTCTTGTAAGTGAACTATAAAATTCCTTGGTGAAAATGGGCTCGAACAAGGTAAACCGTTTATAGGAGCCAAATTGTCAATGACTTGGGTTTTGTCAAATTATGCCTTTCTGGTCCTTCTTAACTAAAAATTTAATTACCAAATAGTTCATGAAGGCAACTACTTAGAATAATCCAAGGGATATCCAAATAGCCATAGCCTGGATTTAGCAAATGCCAAATTTCACCACATTTGCCTTAGATTTAGTGTTTTTTTTGTTTGTTTTTTTTTTTGAGTTGGAGTCTCACTCTGTCGCCTAGACTGGAGTGCAGTGGCCACTCCCGGCCACCGCAGCCTCGCCTGCTGGGCTCCGGCGATTCTTCTGCCTCAGCCTTCCAAGTAGCGGAACGCCTGGCTAATTTTTGATTTATTGTAGAGATGAGGTCTCGCCAAGTTGCCCAGGCGGGTCTCGAACCCATGGGCTCAGACAATCCACTCACCTCAGCCTCCCAAAGGTGCGGGATGACAGGCTGAGTCACCGAGCCCGGCTTAGATTTAGTTTTGTAAGGAGAAAAAAAATGAATGATGCAACTTCGTCATTCCACTCTCCTCCACCAAGGATATTCTTTTGCGTCTTCCCCAAAGACACCACCACCCGGTGTTGCTGTGTATTCATCTTTTCCATCCATGTCTTTATATAGTATTGTTAAGTATGTCTAAAATTTTTCCATAATCTGTACATACCTTTCTGCAACTTGCTTTATTCATGTAACATTATGTTTTAAAGACTAATAATAAATGGAGATTTAACTCATGCATTTTCACTGTACGGTGTTTTTACCTGTTGAATATCACAACTCACCCATTTGTTCAATCAGGGACATTGAGATTGTTTCTCACCTTTCCTTATTGCCTGCAGTGCTATGTCGTGTGTCCTTGAAGATGTCTACATGTAGAAATATGAATGCCGTGGGGTTTGCTTAGCTTTCCTTTTAGGCCACATGACAAAACTGAACTCCTGAGACATTGTGCCAGTTGAAACTTTCACCCACAGTGGATGACAGTTCCTGCTATGTCACATCTGAAATACCTTTTTTTTTTTTTTTTTTAGTTGGTGTCTCACCCTATCATAGCTCGCCGCAGCCTCAACTTCCTGGGCTCAGGCGATCCTTCCGCCTCAGCCTCCTGAGTATCTGGGACTACAGGTGCACATCCCACCTGACTAATTTTTTGATTTCTTGTAGAGACAAAGTCTCTCTATGTTGCCCAGGCTTGTCTCCAACCCCTGGGCTCAAGCAATCCTTCCGCCTCGGCCTCTCAAAGTGCTAGGATTACAGGCGTGAGCCACCATGCCTGTTCCTGAAATACTCTTGGCCTGAGCACATGTAATAGTTACTTTACTAACAAGTGTGAGATGGCATCTTATCATCTTATTGTTCAAATTTATACTTTATTTGATGAGCAGTGAGACAAAGCACCCATATGTTCTGGGTTGTAAGTTTTTGTTGGTTACATGTGTTGGATAGCTTCTCACAGTCTAGGGCCTTTCTGTTGATGTTATGGTCTATTTTCCCATATGTAACATTTTCTGTCTTAAGCCCTTTCTGTGCCAAAATTATACAGTCATTCTTTGTTCTTCCATCCCCTGGCCCTGCAGACACTGCTATGTGGACATCCCAACGCAAAGAGGGAACATGAAATCTGCAAAGTGTGTACTTAAAAATACCTTTTCTCTCTGCCTTTATATGCTAAAATTGTTGCACACAGTTGTATCTTTTCTAGGAAGAGAACCATGTTTCAAAAAATTGTTGATGCCTGTGAACAAATGCAGACCGAAGACGAGGCCATCAAATATGTAACTGTTGATCCGACCAAAAAAGAGATTATCATGTAGGTAGCCAAAATTGTATTTCTCTTTTGGCAAAAAGAGCTCCCTCTGTGTTTCTTTGTATTTTAACATTTTTTGTTTCCTTGCTAAGGGCAATGATGATGACTGCTTGTGACTTGTCTGCCATAACCAAGCCCTGGGAAGTACAAAGTCAGGTGAGCCCAGTTTTGCTTTCTTTTCTGTTGAATTCTCAGGTGCTGTCAAGGTCCTGTGTTGAAGTCCACGTAAAGATCTCCAGCAGCCTCAGAATTCTGACAAATCATGAACATTAGTAAGACGACAGGTCACTTGGTCAGGCCCTAGAATAAAGCAAATGGAAGGCATTTTGGAATGGAAATGCCTTTTCTTTTTGAGTTGGGGTCTCCCTCTGTCACCCAAGCTGGAGTGCAGTGGCACGATCATGGTTCACCATAGCCTCAACCTCCTGGGCTCAAGCAATCCTCCGCCTCGGACTCCAGAGTAGCTGGAACTATAGGTGTGTACCACCACACCCAGCTAAGTTTTTGGTTTTCATAGAGAAGATGGTCTGGCTGTGTTGCCTAGGCTGGTCTCAAACTCCTGGGCTCAAGCAATCCTCCCACCTTGGCCTTCCAAAGTGCTGGAATTACAAGCATGAGTCACCACGCCTGGCCTACTGGGTTTTAAAAAATGATATAAATTAATCCTCCAGTATCCTCACAGTCATGAAGTCAAGAAGTTATGTATTAAACTGTGTGTGTCTACCGTGCACACACAGATACATTCTAAATGCTAACAGGCAGGATAAAGGAGGACTTGGGAAGTGTTAGAGCTGGAAGTATGTTTAATGGAATTAGACATCCTTCCATTTTTCCTTTTGATTGGTGGCAATGGCAAATAGGAGAACGAGTCTCCCAGATTAGGTCTAGAACACTAAGGTAGGAAGAAAGATCCCCCTTTCCCATTTCAGTGTACGCTGTACATGACCATCTTTTTTTTTTTTTTGAGTTGGAGTCTCACTCCGTCGCCCAGATTGGAGTGCAGTGGCCGCTCCCGGCCACCGCAGCCTCGACCTGCTGGGCTCCGGCGATCCTTCTGCCTCAGCCGTCCAAGTAGCTGGAACTACAGGCGCGCGCTACCACGCCCGGCTAATTTTTTGATTTATTGTAGAGATGAGGTCTTGCCAAGTTGCCCAGGCAGGTCTCGAACCTGCAGGCTCAGGCAATCCACTCACCTCAGCCTCCCAAAGGCGAGGGATTACAGGCCGAGCCACCGAGCCCGGCCATGACCATCTTTTTAAAACTTAAGAGTGTATGGTTTGACCATACCTCAAGCGTAGACTATAAACTCTATCCTTCAATGTCACTTGCGTTAATAAAATGCAAGTTCTCCATTCACAAGTGGATTTAGTGAACCAAGCCTTTCTCTTGTGCAGGTGGCACTTATGGTTGCAAATGAATTTTGGGAACAAGGCGACCTGGAGAGAACAGTGCTGCAGCAGCAACCGATCGTAAGACCTCGACACAAAAATGCATTGCCTGTTAAAAAACCGTCAGCACAGATCAGGCTATTTTGTTCACTCAATCTTGGGAACCTACCTCAAAAAAATTTATTTCTCTTTCTAGCCTATGATGGACAGAAACAAAAGAGATGAACTACCTAAACTTCAAGTTGGATTTATTGATTTTGTTTGCACTTTCGTTTATAAGGTAAGTAAACAAATCTTTTGAATGAAATAGGTAAACATTTGGATGAGAATGTTTTCTTTCAAATGGTAACCAGCATTTAAAAGCCACCAACACAGGAAAAGCCATTAGGGGTGTTGCTGTTTTTCCAAAGCAGTTTGAGGTTTCACCCTAATCTCACTCAGGAGAGGGATAATAGGTGAGGGAACTCGGATGTGAGCAAACAGAAGCTTTCCTTGGGTAGGCAGGAAAGACAGGAGCTTTTTTCCAAGCTTCAAAGGTGCTGAATTAAGCTCATCCTAGCAGGGTGAGCACTGGAACAATTCCTGACAGTTCATTCTCAGGAGAAGAGAAGACGGTCTGGCCGTGTTGCCTAGGCTGGTCTCAAACAGAAAGATACTGAAAATCAACTGTATGATTTCTCAACGGTATGAAATTCTCTCTAGGAGTTCTCAAGATTTCACAAGGAAATCACACCTATGCTGAGTGGGCTTCAGAACAACAGAGTCGAGTGGAAATCCCTAGCTGACGAGTATGACGAGAAGATGAAGGTAACTGAAGAGGAGGCAAAAAAGCAAGAGAAAGGAGTCGAGAAAGGTTAGATGGAATCTCTTTTGCTCCCTGTAGAGTAGCCAGAGGCCAGGCTGAACTTGATGTGCCATGACACAGGCACAAAGTAAACGCAAACAGAAAACCAACCACGCTGGCGCAGACTGGTAATTCTAAGAAACTCATTAGCACTTTCAGGGGTTCTCTCTCCAAACAAGATCTTATGTGGAACTCCAGAAAGAACTGATTGGTCCAGGTGAGAGAAATTGGAGCTAGGCTTCTCCATCCCTCTAGAAGGCGGCTTCTTGGTGGAACACCGGGTTTTTTAGGAACCATCTAAAGATCACAGAATCTCTGGGGTCAGGGTTAGGTGAGAAAATAGTTTTAGTCCCGATATTACACATTAGCTGTGAGACTTTGAGCAATCTGCTTATGCTTTCTGAGTTTACTATTCTTCACTACATAACTTGGCAGTTTTACATTATCTTCCATTTATGGAAGCCCTGAATGTAAAGGCAAATGGGGTGACTTGAAGGCTATTCCAAGATCCTTGGCCTGTCTCCCAATGTCGCCATTTTTTTCTGGCATGAAGTTTCCACTCCTAACGTCACTATTGTGTTTAACATTGTTTGGAGAAAGCCTGCTCACTTAAGATCAACTGTTAGTTCATCAAATGACCCAGACATCATCCTGAAAGTGGAATGTTAATTTTCGTCTTGAAAGTTTAGCATCTTAAAGGTCTTGTAAAGAATTGTTATTGCTTAGCAAAAAAAAATAATCCCTACGTGGCAAGGCCTCGAAAGAAGGTATGTTCCTTTTAGATGGTGTTGAGTGATATTTTTAAACAATTCATAGAAGAAAGTATTTTTCTTAACAAAGTTAAGGATGTCCTTTAAGAGAATGAAAACAGGCATTCCTGACTCCTAGATATCCATTCACCTTTGCTTTCACTGGGTGTCTCTTCTGTCCAAGCCCCTAATGAGGCAGGCCCTGGGGAGACATGGGGTCCTTATCTGGAAGAGCCTACCCTCAGGAGGGGAAGCGAGAATAATTGAAGAGCTCAGAGAAAGCACAAGCGTGGATGGCTATGGGGCATGGGAAGTTTTCCTGAAGGAGGATGCTTATGAGACAGCCTCAAGACAGGAAGCTTTGGCCAACCACAGGAGGAGGAAAGGCGAGCAAGAGAGAGAAACAAGAGACTACGGGCCTGGTGTGGTGGCTCATGCCTGCAATCCCAGCACTTCTGGAGGCTGAGGTGGGAGGATCACTTGAGCTCAGGAGTTCAAGACCAGCCTGGTCAACATAGCAAGATCTCATCTCTACAAAAAAAAAAAGTTAGCTGGGTGTGGTGGCACACACCTGTACTCAGCTAGTCGGGACGCTGAGGCCTAAGGATCGCAGGAGCCCACAGGGTGGAGGCTGTGATGGGCCTTGATTGTGCCTCTGCACTCCAGCCTGGGCGACAGAGATTCTGACTCAAAAAAAGAAGGAAAGATTGAAGGGAATATGCACAAAGGCTTGAAGTGGGAATAAGCTGGGTGCAACTGAAGAATTTTAAAACTGGTCCAGAGTCAGAACAGTCAGAGTACAGTGAAGCTGGTGGTGCAGGCAGCTGCCAGAGCACACAGCCCTAAAGGCTGAACTGAGGATCTCAGTGTCTCAGTAATCAGAGGGATTTAAACAGCAAAGGGGGAAGAGCAGATGATCTGTGTTTCAAAAAGATAAGACGTGACTTCCACCAAGCAAGGGAGAAGCCTTAGCACTATCAAATTTAACCTTTATCTCAACTTTCTGATGAGGAGACTCTCAGGTCCTTTAAGCCTCCTGACAGTTGCTTTTACCATTCAGTATACTGGAAGTGAATCTTCTGTATTTTACTGGCATAACAGTTTACTTCTGATTTTCTTTCTATAACACAGATAATTCCCTGTGGGCTAAGAACACTGCTTTGTACCACCAGGCATCAAAGCTTTGTGGTTCAATCAGATTTCCAAATGGCAGTCTCTGTGACAAATGGAGACGTTGATTGGCTAACCACTTATCAGATTGTTTTTTAAATGAACCAATTCTGAATATGAACTCAAGTTACAGCAAGTTAGTTGCTGTGTTAAAATTACAAATTAGGCTCTAAAGTTGACACTGACAGTATGGGGGTATTAGAATAAAAACACTGTACTCACTGGCTCCTAATAATCCTGCTTTTCTTGCTTTTACTAGCTGCTAACAATCTTGGAGGTGGCGGTGATGACAAAAAGTCCAAAACATGTTTAATGCTGTAATAGACTCAATTTCAAATGTCATTTTACCTTTGAAGAAAACCAGGAAACATTCAAAAGAACTTCAGCAAATTTCATTCAGCAAGCCATCAAGGAACGGTAAAAGGATCTTCAGAAAAACTATGCTGTGACTGTTAAGAAATTTTATATCGCTAGCCTGAAAACCCTGAGGACAAAACAAAGTTCAGCAAAAGTGCAAAATAAGACAAAAACAGGTACATTTTGGGTACCAATTTATTTTAAATTAAAAAATATGCAAACAAATTATTTTTTTTTTAAAGTTATTAACTGTATTTCTTTGCTCTGGCTGCCATTACAAAGTACACAGACTGGGTGGCATAACCAACAGAAATTTGTTTTCCCACAGTTCTGGAAGGTAGAAGTTCAAGATCAAAGAGTTGGCAGGGTGGTTTCTTTCAAGCCTTCTCTAGTTGGTTGAGGACGGTCTTCTCCCTGTGTCTTCGCATGGCCGTCCCTGTGTCCATGTCCCAATCTCCTTTTCTTACAAGAACACCAATGGTACTGGATTAGGGCTCAATCACGTGACCCCATTTTGGTCTTAATTAACTCCTACCGGTCTTATCTCCAAATAGAGTCACATCCTGAGGTACTGAGGATTAGGGACTTTGACATATGAATTGGGGGCAGGGAGGACAATCCAGCCACAGCATTCATAATTCTGACTCGTTTCTCAAACCACTCCCTGAACTAAAAACCACTCGTTGACATGTCTTCATATAAGAGTGACATAGTATAGAACATATACCATATGTAAATATGGTATAGGAACCAAAGAAAAAATGACATCAGAGGTTATTCCATCTGAAATGCTTCTCTTTCTCCTACACCTTTTTTTTTTGAGTCAAGAGTCTCACTCTGTTGCCCAGGCAGGAGTGCAGTGGCATGCTCACGGCCACTGCAGCCTTGACTGCCTGGGTTCAGGCGATCCTTCCGCCTCAGCCTTCCAAATAGCTGAAACTACAGATGCATGCCACCACGCCTGGCTAGTTTTTGTGATTTACTGTAGAGATGAGGTCTCACCAAGTTGTCCCAGCCGGTCTCGAATCCTCTGGGCTCAGGCAGTCCTCTTGCCTTGGCCTCCCAAAGTGCTGGGATTACAGGCTGAGAGCTACTGACCTTCCTACACTTTGTACCCTTGATAGAATGATGAAGACCACACCATTTTTTGGCAGTTTATTAAAACTATGCTGTTGTCCTATGCTCCTCCTTCAAAGTTTGAAATCAATTATTTCATGTGTAATGAAGAGTATTTTTTAATGTTCAGAATGATTCTCACTGGAAGGATTATCAATGTATAAAATTACTAGCCAGATGATCCTAATGTAAGTTAAATCAACTAATAAATATTTTGATTAAGAAGCATGTGATTTGGCTATGCAAGAAATTCATTACCAAAAGCAGTGTGGAAAGATTTTAACTGAGATTACTTTTTAAAAGTGATTACTAGAACTGTCAAGTATTCTGAATATTAGATTGTCAAGGGAAACTAAGGACAATCAACAACTTCTACTACATGGTATATGTCTGTATGGTTATCAGCAAGTTCAGATTTCTCTCTCTCTCTCTCTCTCTCTCTCTGAGTTGGAGTTTCACTCCGTTGCCCAGACTGGAGTGCAGTGACCGCTCCCGGCCACCGCAGCCTCTACCCACTGGGCTCCAGCGATCCTTGCGCCTCAGCCTTCCGAGTAGCCGGAATTACAGGCGTGCGTTATCACACCCGGCTCATTTTTGATTTATTGTAGAGATAAGGTCTCACCAAGTTGCCCAGGCGGGTCTCGAACCCGCGGGCTCAGGCAATCCACTCACCTCAGCCTCCCAAGGCGCGAGATTACAGGCTGAGCCACCGAGCCCGGCTCTTCCTTTAATTATGTATCATCATAGACCAAATTGAAAATGGAACAAATAAGCCGGGCTCAGTGGCTCAGCCTGTAATTCAGCGCCTTTGGGAGGCTGAAGTGAGTTGACTGCCTGAGCCCGCGGGTTCGAGACCTGCCCGGGCAGCGAGACCTCATCTCTACAATAAATCAAAAAATCAGCCGGGCGTGGTAGTGCATGCCTGTAATTCCGGCTACTAGGAAGGCGGAAGGATCGCCGGAGCCCAGCAGGTCGAGGCTGCGGTGGCCAGGAGCGGCCACTGCACTCCAGTCTGGGTGACGGAGTGAGACTCCAACTCAAAATAAATAAATAAATAAATAAAAATAAATAAATAAAAATGGAACAAATAATAATAGTTACACCATATTACTTTGCCAGACATTTCTTGTCAAAAGATACCAGAATTAGAATGAAGATCTATGAAACTTTTGTGTTATAATAGACAAGATAATGTTCAATTTTAAGCAGCCAAGAAATAAATCACCCCTTGCTATACTTGTACAAGCCAGGGACTTGGAATTGTAAGACTGCTGCACCCCCATGAGACTGTGAAGCTCACGGGAAAGATTTGTCTGTTTCGTCTGTTTTGTTCATAGCTGTGTCTCGGCCCCTAGAGTAAGTAGTGCCTGGCACGAGGTATGAACTCAGTGATATGAGTGAATGATATTTTGAATAAATGTTACAACCAACATGTATACACAAGAGCAGACTGTAAAGTCACGCATACACACCAGAGAGTTGTTCATCGACATCATCACCTTGGCCAGGGACACATGCATCCTCTATTTCAATGCTTAAAGTCACTTTGAAATGCCACTTCTAGAATCACTGGTACTTTAAAAACCACATGAGAAACGCTATTCTCTTAGCCTTAGGTAATTTTGGACTCAAAAACATCCGTCAGCTCAAAAAACTTGCCCTCCAACGTCACCAGAAATTCAACAAGGATGGATAAGTCCCACCACTGATCGTCTGCCAATTACAGACACTTCATGTAAGAGCAAGTGTAAGAAAGTAGAACTTCAAGGCCCAGATCAGTGGTCTGTGGACACCACGGACTGCACCGTAGCCAAGTCTGAGAAAGTAGGAGATGTAGAAAGTCTAGAGATGTGGGCTGGGCTCGGTGGCTCAGCCGGTCATCCCAGCACTTTGGGAGCCCGCGGGTTTGAGATCAGCCTGGGCAACTTGGCGAGACCTCGTCTCTACAACAAATCAAAAATTAGCCGAGCGTGGTAAGCACCCGCCTGTAGTTCTAGCTACTTGGAAGACAGGTGGAAGGATTGCTGGAGCCCAGCAGGTCGAAGCTGGGGTGGCCGTGAGTGTGCCACTGCACTCCAACTCAAAAAAATAAATAAATAAAATAAAGCCATCATCTTAAAGGCCTTTTCAAAGACCCCTTAAAAACATGACTTTCATTATCTACTGTTGTGTATGAGTGAATTAAGTGTTGTGATTTTATACAATGACCAAAATTGATAAATGAGCTTGATGTCATAAGCCATACTTGAAATACCAAATATATTTTGATCTATTTTTAAAGGGTCTTTAGATATTCTTCCTAGTTATTTAATTTTGTGGGAATTTTACTTTATGATGGCCACTAAACTATGAATATATTTTCATCATAAGAATGTTTAACTACATATATTCTACTACTCTCAATTTTTCCTCAGAAATTCCTTTTTATCCACTGTAAGTAGTGAGATTTTCAAAAAAACCAATTGCTTCAAGAAATGAGAGGACTATTAAATAAACATCGATAAATTCATTGATAATCTATTTACTATTTTCTGATAGAAGTTCAGAAGTGAATGCATAATTATTTCCCAGATAGTTCCTTTGCCCAGCACAGTGCCTCACACATAATAGAATCCTGGTAAATACTTGTGGAATCCATGAAAAACAACTATTTAAGAAAGAAACATCTCTGATACTAACCGCTTAAAAATAAGACACCGAATTACTTACTTTGCAGTTTAATGCCAACCACTCCATGTTTAACTGTTATTTTAAATGCTGAATCTTCAATAAAATAACTGGCTATGCTATGATCACTTTCTGCATGTCTTTTCTCTTGTTCACGAAGTCAAGCATCTTCTCTTTTATCTACCCATCTATTTGCTCTTTAAAAAAAAAATCAATAAATCTTTTTGGAAATCTAATTTTTCAAAATTTGAAACTTATGGACCTTTTCTCCAAACAACATACATAGGCACAGATGTTTCTACATAGATTCTAGAATGGTGTGGGTCTCCTGAAGCACACCATGGACCCCACATGAAGAAGTGACATTTTATCTGTCCCTGCAGATGTGTCCCCATATTTGCATAAGTGTATCTGAGACAAGCCATATGTGCATAGTATTATTCAACTAATGATTTATTGCATAATGTCTGGTGGGGGGTCAATTTTGTGACACATGCACTGTTTTAGACTACTGGGTCCTCACTGGCTCCCTGTGGTAATAACTTACTTAACAGGAAATTACCCACGACCTGGGAAGTCCAATTTGACTATAACAAACTCCCGTGAGTGGTAAAGGTAAAAAGGAAGCAAAAGAAAGACAAGCAAAACAACCCAACAAGGAGCCTGAAAGAGGCGAGAATGGGAAAGCAGCAGCTTAAAACGGGGGGCCAGAGCACCACGGGGAAGGAGAGAGGCTCGAGACACAGTTCACCTATCTGCTTTCTACTTCCTGGAAGACCTCAGTCATCCTAGTAATTTAAAGTGATTGAAGCGAGGGAAGACAAATACGAATCAGTGAGAAAAACCCCTTCCGCAGGCAGGAACACGGGAATCCTGCACAGAGACTGAGTTCCATCCTCTAGTAGCTTCAGATGAAACAAGAAATGGAGGCAAGCAAGTAGCTGAAAGGTACCAAGGGGACAGGGAAGTGTCTCCCAAAGAACTGACTCATGAATGTCCAAAGTGTCTGACGTCCTGAGAGGACCTGGATTTTTATTTCCAAAGACAAACTGTGCAAGCTGCAACTTTAGATCAAACATTCATAGTGTTTCAAAGTGTACATTCACATTAAGGGATGTAGGCTTCTCTCCCGTCTCACAGAAATAAATCCTGAAAATACTCATCAAATTCTTCTTCCCTATTTAAAAGAAAAAAGTATACATATTGATAACAATCAACAATTAGAGTTAAAAAAATTACCAGATGGCACATTACATGAGATTAATAAAAACAGACTTTAATTCAACATATTGGCTGATTCTTCTATTTACCAGTATATTCCCATGACTCAGCCATCAACTAATTCTTAGCTTCTAGAATAGTCATAACTAAACTCAGATTCATTAAAATGAAAATATGTATGTTGGCACCTCTGCTTTGAAATACTTTGTGAAATGTCACTGTTTCTCTTTACTTTTTGGGGAGCTTACTTTATACTTTCTCTTTTCATTCTCATTTCAACCTAAGTCTGTTCAATGAATGAAAAAGAAGCTATTTTTAAGGAAAAATGTAAGTCTTAGTCCCAGGACTGGGGAGAAAAACCTGCTTTGGCTGCAGTTTTTTATTACTGAGAATAATACAAAAGTTATGTGTTTGTAGCAGTAAAGATTATATCTAAAACAATACAGTTCTTTGAAAGAAGATATTAGAGTATAATATACCAAGATATTATGAAAATTGTAAAACATTAAGTTAAACGTTAGTGCTGGGAGCCAGAATGTTGCAATGGAAATAGCACCAGCTTGCAGTTAGACAGTGTCAATGCCTAGCTCAGTCACTTAAAAGCTGCCTGAGCCAGTACCTTAACCTCTTGGAACTCAGTTTCCTTATCTATAAAATGAAGATAATTATGTTGCTTTACAGAGTTGTCATGAGAATTAAAGAAATGCAGTTGCTTTCCTTCCTTCTGGGAACAGTGACTCAAGCTGGACAGTAAAAATTAGCCTATCAGTCTCTTTAGAAAATATTCTTTTAGATTGGATATTCATAGTAAGACTCCATCATTTGGTTTTAAATAATTGAGAATGCATAAAGCCATGATAACCATATTCAAATTTAAAGAACAAAATTAATCACAGAATCAAATAAAGTTGATTAAGTAGTATATGCAATGTGTTATTACCCATGCTTCTCTCTTCCTTGGCATGAGAACTACAATAGATGAAACTGGTGGAATCTGTGTGGACTTAGAGTCTCAGTGACCAATGTCAAAAGAGTTGAGTACAGTAAGAGTTTTGTATTATGAAAGCCTTCTTTCATAGGATTTACTCTTATATCTTTATTGCCTAAAAAGATGAGCTGACCCTAAGACCTGTTCTATCATTCTCAGCTATAAAGCTCTCCAAGGAGACAAGCTCAGTCAATGACTAGAGTTTAGCTGGTAGCTTAAACTGGATAGCAATATTGTATTTACACTAACAGCTTTTTAAATAATCCATAATACTCACACTTTTGGAATTTTTTTATTTGGCTGGGAAAAAAAAAGGTTAAGGACATAGAAAAAAGTAATCTTGCTTAAAAACTTTTTTCTAACACACCTGAATTCTATTACACTGAAATCTTCTATTTAGTGAAATGTGTTCTAATCATTTCACTCTAATCTAATCTTTCTACAGTTTAAATTAACGAATTATAGTTGATCCAACAGGTCTACTTACATTATGAGCCAACATGTCTAGGAACTGACAAAATGGGACTAAAATGTCCTGAGCATTCACTTTATTCATAGGCACTACACTTGCTGCTTTTACCTCATCTCATTTTCAGATAGACTCCATGTGGTTCAAGCAGTGAACACCCCAGTATATGACAAGAGCTGGTAACATCCCAGCTCACACCCAGACAGCGTTTTCTCGTCCAACCCATAGCAGAGGTTGAGTGCACTGAGTTACCAGTCTCTGTGGGCTAAGGTGGGTGTTGGCAAACGTGCTTCTACACCTGTGTAAATGTCAGGGGCTCCTCTGTATAGGCTTGTGATAATCACAGTATCATGGAACAGTCTGCTCTGGAAGCTAGTATAAACAGCCCTCTCTGAAGAAATCCAAGCAAAGACCAGAGGGTTATCTGTTACGGTGAGCTGATGAAAGATTTATTGACCAGGAGGCACTGGACATGACCACAAACAATAGCTGGGAGTAAACGCTCATCTTGCCAGGCTAGGTCGTCCTTGGCATTAAATAGATTATTCATGATGTTAAATTTTTTCACTAATTGTTACCAAAAATGGCTGTGGTTATAGCTTTACTAACTGACCGAAAGGGTATGTATTATCTATTAATATCATCAGTACTTACTGTGATTTTTCATCTGTCTCTGGCAGGGGACCCTTCCAAAGTTCAGATTCTGAAGCACTTTCTTCCTCATCAGAGTTTCCTGTTCATTTAAAAGAGATGCTTTCAAAATGTATTATATTTAAAGCACATTTGAACTACCCACCTATACAATCAAATTCACTTTGGATTTAACGGCAACTTAGCTTCAACTTTCGTGGCTCTCTAGAAATTTAATTCACTCTCCCAGATACCATAAACTCTTTTAAAAGTGAATAAATACGTGGAGACACCAAAGAGTCTCGGCAAAAAGGCCAAGGATTTAAAGTCTCATAAAAACTTCTCCAAGTTACAGGAGCAATTCTAATACTAACTCTTATACATGAAAATTATCTCTTGCAATATAGTTGTCTTTGATTTAGTTTCTTCTTTTTCTTAGTAATACAAAAGACATGCATGTTAAGAGTTTTATAGAGAACATATATGCACTAGGATCAGCATCTCAAAAACAGAGATAGTAGTATGTAAGACCTGCTAGTTAAGTTATTAAAAAAAAAGTTTGTCAGATACTTTTACTATGCTGAATACATAATTAGAAGAAGAAGAAATAGGCATTTCTGTTTCAGTGAAGAAACAGGCATTCTCATACATTGTTGGGAGCAAAAATTCTGTAAACCTTCTTTTTGAGGAAAATTCGGTAATACAGATCAGTTTAAAACATATACCCTTCGGCCAGAGATGCTGCATTTAGGAGTATGATTATCTACTTAGGATACATAAGCCCCTCAGATATATATGTACAAAGATTTGCACATTGTATAACAACAACCACCCAAATCCCTCATCAATTAGAGATTAAGAACTGGTTAAATAAATACTGTACAACTGTTAAAAAAAATCTTAGAATATCTATATGTATTGCTATGGAAAATGTTTGTTTTCTATTACATTTTTTATTTTTATTTTTAAAGTAGGATTTATTGAGAGAACAGAAAAGCTCCTACAGTGGGAGGGGACCTGAGGAGGTTGCCCACATTTTTAAAAAGTTACAAAAGTATGCACACGGAAGGCTGAGGCGGAAGGATCGCCGGAGCCCAGCAGGCCGAGGCTGCGGTGGCCGGGAGCAGCCACTGCACTCCAGTCTGGGCGACAGAGTGAGACTCCAACTCAAAAAAAAAAAAAAAAAAGTATGCACAATATATTACCTATGTTAAAACATTATCATATGAATTTATGTATGTAGTATATGTTTATAAGTATAACTTCACAGTGGTTTTATTACCTGTGGATCTGGGATACTTTTACTTTCTATTTTAAATATGTCTAAATTGTTTGTATTTTAAACAAATGAGCATGTATTATCTTCAAAGTCAGTGAAAACAATAAAAAAGTCCACTATGAAAATATAACAAAGCAGACATGTTTCAAATGAATCACCTTATAGCAATCAACTAAAAATTATAAAGTACTGAAAGATGCATCATCAGGCAATTTACACTATATTCCACAAAGTATATTAGCAAACAATTCCTCCCCAGTAATGACCATTAGTCTAAAAGAGAAATGACACACATGTGGCCTGTCACTACTCAATGTCCTTAGTTAAATACAACACAAAAATAAAACAGCATTGATCTGCCACAGCGGCTCTACCCGTTTGCCTGGTGGACTTTGACCCTTGAATCAACATGTATGTCTGAACTTCAGTCCTATTTGAATGTATTCTGGCACCAATTCTAACAAAAAATGGCAAAGTGTGTGTGTGTGTGTGGGGGGGGGGGGCATTTTGTATTTCTAATGATCTATATACCAGTGATGATAACATGAAGTCCTAGAAGTAAGATTTCTGCTCAATGTCAGCCATCACTGAAACTGCCAGTGAGTTCTAAATTGATATTGTGACAAAAAGGAGTAAGAGTCTTCTCTTATTTTTATGAAAACTCACTACATGAGATAACGAACTAATTAGGTTTTAAAAAGGTTGTAATTGTTATGCTGTTACTCTGTTAGTGAGCTTAGAGAAAAAAACTTGCAAGAACTTTAAATTGGACAACTAATTTTGAAAGGCCTTACAATCACTGTTCTCATGTTTCCTGCCAAGAGTACTTCCCACATGCCAGCTTTCCTATACCAGTTTTCTGATACTAGCCAATCAATATCACTAAAAAAATCAAATCAGTTTAGCATAACATTATAAAACAGCTCTCTTAGAGTATCCACTAAAAACGTGGCCAAATAGCCTTAGGAAATCAAGTCTAAATGGACTAAATGACCTCTAAGATCCCTTATGACCCTATGAATCGAGAGTATCTGGTTCCCTGAGGGTGAGAGTCATTACAAATCACTGCTACAACAGCTGTTACAACCTGCCAGAGGTTGGGGAGGGTGTTAGAAGGAAGAAATAATTTGAAGAACAGGCAATACAAAAGGATGCATCAGTGTCAAATCTATGCCATAATTATTGGCAAGTGGGGAATCGAAATTAAGTCATTGACTCTGTGTCCACAGGGGAGCTGGAGGCCATTTAATCCAGCCCGCACCCAAGGGTGCATCTCTTTTTGCAGCACCTCCAAAAACCTTGTCTCTACAATAAATCACAAAAACTACCTGGGTGAGGTGGCATGCATCTGTAGTTCCAACTACTTGGAAAAAACAAGTGGCCACCCAATCTACACTTGACCATGCACAACTTCTTCCATTCCCCTCAGATACTTCTCAGTGACATGTTTTTCTTTATATGAAGGCAGACATCTATACTCAGGCAATTTTCATCCCCAGACTTTAGTTCTGCTGATGACGAAAAGATGCCAAACCCCGTAAATTATTTTAAGATGGTTTATTCTGAACCAGACTTGATAACTTAAGCCCAGAACACCCACCCTCAAGAGGTCCTGAGAACACGTGCCAAATGTGGCTCAATGGTGGCATGGTTACACGTTTTAGGAAGGCAGAAACTACAAGAAACCATAAATCAATACATGTGATATTTTCGCTGGTTTGGCACAGGAAGGAGGGACATTTTCAAAGGGGGACTGCAGGTCACAGGAGGATTCAAAGATTTCTTGACTGGTAATTCGTAGTTCCTATCTGAGGAATTTAGAAGTCAGCAGAGGACATGCTTTGTTAAGATGGGAAACTTCAGGTTTGCTGATGTGTAGATGAAGTCCTATATGTGGCAGACTTCAGAGGGGATAGATAGATAAGGGTTTTCTAAGGTTCCTAGAGTCTGGGAGTCCCCAAGAGGTGGCTTTGCAGGGCCATCAAATAATTTCACTTCCTTCTTTATTTATTATGTGATGTTATGCCAGAGTCAGGTTGGAAAAAAGACTTTTTAGCATATGGAGTAATGGAGCAATAAAGCCCTGTTTGGTAAGTTCTCATAGGGGTGACTCCCCAAGTCTCCTAGTTAGGAATTTGAGTAAGAGAAAAAAAGGACAGGCTTAGTCCTCAGTGCCAACTAGAGTCCCTTCAAAAGCAAGTCTTCTGCATAGTAGCAGCCTTGCAAATGTCTGGGCAGCAGTTTCCACGCCACCTCCTCACTGCGCCCTCCCATCCCTTTGCTCTTCCCAAGTTCAACACTCGCAGTCCCTCTGTCAGTTCTCGACATGTTTCCCAGCCTCTCAACACCTCGGTTTTTCTCTTCTTGACCTTTTCAAGTTTTCAATATTTCCTTCAGAGTGTGGTGTCTAAAATGGCACACAATTTTCACTGCATGCTCTGAATCATGAAGGCAGGTCTGTCATCTTGGTCTTTGTGAATATATTATATGATAACTAAGGCACTACTGAAGACGTGGCAAATATCTCCAAGAATCGTGATAACAGATGGGCAGGTCAGAGCTTTACAGACTTTTTTTTTCCCCCATTATCCAGAACATTTATTTCTTTATTTTCTCTTTTAAATTGAAAATACATAATAAGTAAAAAGCAAACTGATTATATTTTAAGTCACTGTGAATGATCCAAAATTATTTTTAATACAGACTTAACTTTTGATTGGATCAATTCTAAAGAATGAACACAGACTCCATAATATAATGTCTGGTATTTTTCTTTTCTGTGACATAATAACAGCTACAGGTTGTCAAGAACTTATTGAGTCAGGCACGTATTTTACATGTCTGTTTCCTCATTTGGTTTCGATCATAATCCAACAAAGTAGGTCTCTTTATGCCCATTTTACAGACAGAAGTGATACACAGCCAGATCAAATCATTTAATGTGGATCTGTACAACGTATCTGCCAAACTGAGATCTAAAGAGTAGATGTACATTTGATTCACTGTGAACAGTTACTGATGAGAAAGGTAACAGGGGACAGACCTTGGAATTATAAACTTGCATTTAATCCCAGCTCTGCCAATAACTATCTGACCTTGGACACTTTACTTCAATTCTCTGGTTCTTGGGAGATCTAATGCTCACGGTTACTACAGGTAACAATACTGTACTAGATACCGGAAATGTGCTGGGAGGGTGGCGAATCACCAAGCTGTACACTTTAAATATACAGTTTTAAAAATCGGGTTTCTAGCCGGGATCGGTGGCTCAGCCTGTAATCCCACGCCTTTGGGAGGCTGAGGTGAGTGGATTGCCTGAGCCCGCGGGTTTGAGACCCGCCTGGGCAACTTGGCAAGACCTCATCTCTACAATAAATAAGAAAAAAACCAGCCGGGCATGGTAGCGCGTGCCTGTAGTTCCAGCCACTTGGAAGGCTGAGGCGGAAGGATTGCCGGAGCCCAGCAGGTCGAGGTTGCGGTGGCCGGGAGCAGACACTGCACCCCAGTCTGGGCGACAGAGTGAGACTCCAACTAAAAAAAAAAAAAAATCGGGTTTCTTCATTCATTTAGAAACATTTCCTAGGCTATGGTTTTCTCATCTACAAAATGGGGATATTCTGTGCCCATTATTAAGATTAAATGAGGTAAAACCTCTACTGCACTTGCCATTGTGGCCAACAAAGTAGGTAACCAATGAATGAATGCAAGTTAAAATTCTTTTCCCCACAGAATTGGATTTTCTCTGTGAGTTTGATTTTAATAACACATACACTAAATGGGTCAAGATGGTAACTAAATATTATCCAAATGAAAATACAAGTAAGAGATAGCAACATGTGAAGCATAAAACTGCCAAGACCATCTAGGACAGACCACTGATCACCAAGACGCCACCTGGGCTGGGGTGCCGCAGCCAGCAGAGGAGTATGTCAGCGTGAGGGAGATCATTTGGTTCTTCAAGGACCAAATCAAGCTACAGGCTATCTAAGCTGGTACAGTATTCACCTTGTTCCCACTGCTTAAGTGTGGCTTTGCTGGGCGAGGTGAAAGTGAGTTAGGGCTACTTTAGAGGCAGGGGAGGACTCAGAGGGTGAGGGAAAAAGACAGCGAGAGCGAGAAGGGAGGCGAGGAAACAAAAGAACAGACAGACAGAAAGCAGCGATTCAAGACCTTTCCCTAAAAGATTTTTAACAATAAAAAAAAGGGCAACCCCCTCGGGTCCCCTTCTACTGTGGGAGCCATTCTGTCCTCTCAATAAATCATGCTTTCAAACAAAAGAAGTAAAATAAATATTCATACCTCTCACTGTTGAAAATGGATGAAAACTAAAATAAACATTCCCACTCTAGCCTATGTGCACTTTGTTTAGGTATACATTTATTATTTCATTCTGAGATGACATTTTTTCACCAGTCTTATACCTGGCTATGTTCTAGAAACTGTGACTACACTTCACTTCGTTTAGAAAAAAATCCTCCTGATAAATTAGGGTTCACATGAGGAGAAAGAAAGTATCAGTGCTTTGGGACACTTCAAATAAGTTGAAAACACAGTCGGTACAAGCGAAATAACTTATAAGGAATATATTGTACTCCTAAACTAGAAGAATACTTCCACTAACACCTCACTCTCCAGTAAAAATTTAAACAACAAATACCTTAAAACTCCAATTTTTCTCAGTGCAAAATTTCTGACTACTAAATACTTAAAATTTCTTGTTAAGAACAGCTAGTAATGTTTACATTTCAGTTGTGGTACTTGGAATAATTATCAAATTTTTTCTTGCGTTTGCTACAATAAATACTCATTACTTTAAAATCAGAACAATCTAAAAAATTTTTAGATTTGTAAATCTCCAAGGAAGCGTAGCAGTCTCAAATTTCTAAAATTCTATGACCTAAATCGAGATTTTATAAAATGAATTACATATTTGTTGGACTACACTTTATTGTTAGGCCCTGAGCCTACTGCAAGTCTTTAAGAAATTCCATATTGTATTCAAAACTGTTTGTTAAATCACAAATGTATGAACTTTTTTATAAACCCACAGGAGACTCTTCTCTCAAAACTGCCAGGGCAAAGATGAACACTCTCTGAGTTCTCTTTATCATCTTATGGGTGCAATTCATCCTTCTACTGGTGGTTTCATTCTTTCCTAATAACCATCAGTTGTTAGGAAAAACACAAATTTGTAATGTTTCTTTGCAATTATGCAGGACTTTTTGGTATACACTTACCTGTATCAATTTTATCTCTAGTTTCATTTACACTGCTATTCTACCTTATGTTTCCATTATTCTGATTTTTTTAACCAAAAAAAAATTATTTTAGTTTTTAGAGACAAGGTCTTGCTCTGTCACTCAGGCTGGAGTGCAGTTGTGCAATCAAAGCTCACTACAGCCTTGAATTCCTGGGCTCAAGCAATCCTCCTGCCTCAGCCTCCCAAACAGCTGGGATTACAGGTGTGCCATCACACTTGGCCAAATTAAAAATTTTTTTTTTCTTTTTTATTATTATAAAAATGTGGGGTACAATCTGGGGTTAGGTATACAAACGTTGATTATGCAGGTACCCTTGTTAATTAGGTATGCCCCTCCCTCCCCTAGCAGTTTCCCTCAACTGTCAGTCCCCCCCGCCCCGTTTCCAACCATGCCAATCCCTTTCTTATAGTATTATAATTGTTCAAGGTCCACTTATGAGCGAGAACATATGGTACTCTGTTCTTTGTTTCTGTGATAGCTCACTGAGTATGGTTGACTCCAAATCCATCCAAGTTGCTGCGAAAGTCCATGTTTGTCCTTCTTTATGGCTGCACAATATTCCATTGTGAATACGTACCACATTAAAAAAAAAAAATTGTAGATATGGAGTTTCCCTATGTTGCCCAGGCTTGTCTCGAACTCCTGGACTAAAATGATCCTCTTCCCTCAGCCTCCCAAAGTGTTGGGATTACAAACATAAGCCACCATGCCCGCCCAAAAATCGTATCTTATTGTACATATTTTTTCAAGTTATTGTGAATATTTTTGGAATGTTGCAGAGAAAAAAATAATAGAATTTGCAGCAAATATTCAATGAAATCCAATCTATTTTGATCTAAACTAATGAAAATCATAGGGCTAATAAGAAACTAACCAGTAGCAACTAGTTCTTAACATCTTCTTTTCCACGCACAAACCATATCCTTCATTTAATCAGTCAAAACCACCAAATGCCAGAGATCACTCAGTCTCATGCAACATAAGCAACATTTCTTAAATCTTCATCCACTCTCCCAATTCTTTCTCCACTCCAACATCATCCCACTACTTCTCATCTTTCACATTTTATAATATAAAATGGAAACGTGTATCCCTTGTATTTACTAAAAAAAAATTTTAATGCTCTCTGTACTTAAAACCAGACACTTTAAAATTGTTCTTAACTAGGGAATAAATCATATGCTTTTGGTCTTTTTCTGATTTTTCCCACATATAAAAATACTTTACAAAAACAAAAAAAAATAATTCACATCAAAGCAAGATACACTCATGGAAAACTCAAATTGCAAATATCTCAAATCTCTATATTGTTATTAAATCAAGATTTGATACTTACTATCTGCAGAATCTTCTGATTTCTTTGAGGACAAATGTCCTAAAAGGAAGCAGAGGAAACATCATAATTTAATTAAGTATCCTCTTGGGTGGGGCAACAGTTTTATCTGTAACCAGAATTCTTCCCAATAGCCTAGTCTGCTTATGGCCTCACCGACAAACCTGTCACCGTTTTCTAATCTTTCATATTCCTTAGTCTGACCTCCCAATTAAAATGTTAGGCTCTTTTAGGCAGAAACCATATAGTATTCTCTCATAATGCTGGCCTGGAGTAGCTCACACAAAACTTAAAAACTGATAAGCACCTGTTAAAAACTTCATACTGCTAAAAAATAAATAAAACCACATAGATTAGATGTAATATAGACAATAGCTTCTTTTATCTATGAAGATATCCAGTATCTGAAAGCAGTTTACAAATAAATACTTATTTTTCCCAATGTTGTTTACAAGGTCATATATAGGTGAAAATCATTTCTCTGTAACGGATAACAACACATACAATTATGTCAGAAAGCAAAAATTCTCGGCTCTATGATGGTTTTCTAGTGAGAGAAACAGAAAGAGAAAAGCACTGAAGATCTTTTAATGTAATTATTTAAAAAATCACTATACAGAGCCTCCTGCCATAAGACTTCAGGAAAAATACTTCTGAAGGCTATGAAGTAATAAAGAATAGGTAACACATGGAGACTAACAATTCTCCCAAAGTTCCTGGAAGGGAGGTCCTGCAAGCCAAAGCGGTGAAGAAGGTGCCAGAAGCACAGGGTACACAAGGAATGCACTGCCAGCCCCTAATACAGGGAATGTGATAACAGCCTCCCAAGACCGAATGTCTGCATGGAAAGAGATGAGGCTTATCCTCGAGGCCTAAGGACATAATGAGAACCAGAGAGAGGAAGCAGTAAGTTGGGCCAGATGTTCAGAGAAACCTGCTATCTGCAAATGTAAAGGACTCTTTTGAATGGCAATGGGCTCCTTTTCTGGAAGTGGTGAAGCAAATGTAGACCACCACACAGCACAGCGCAGCGCTTCTCTCAAACTCTGTGCACACGAGCCACCCTGGGAGTCTGCTAGATCTGGAAGGGTCTGAGGTTGTACGTGTCCAACGACTTCCCAGATGACAACAATGCTGCTGGTCAGAGGACCAGACTTTGAAATGCAAAACGAAAGAATACCCTTTAAATGAGGGTTCCAGGACTGATCTCATGCTCCTTTCAACTTGGAGAAACTGGTTGAACTCACGGGTTCACTCCCTCACCTACCACTTACTGAACACCTACTGTAGGAGCAGGTTCTGGTAGGAACTGGAGATAATTAAACAAGGCACACGGTCCCTTCCCCCACAGGAAATATACAAGTTATCCAAGGGTACCATGTGTTTCTAAAGGAGAAGTGCAGGCACTATGGGAGCGTGTCACAGGGACCTTGTTTCTCTTGTTTGGAGAAATGGGCTGATGGGTTGTCATCAGGAACCGAGTTATGCTGAAACCTGAAGGATGAGGGGGGCTTTTGGGAGAGGGGTAATGGTGAGAAGGTAAGATCATGGACTTTCTGCAAGAGAGTCTACCTAAGTATCTTGCCCTGCCCATACCTCCAAGTCCAGCTATTATCTTTCTTACTTTTTCTTTCTATACATTCATTCGGCTACCTAGGCATCCAGTCATCCATCCAACCATGACTTATTAACATTTTCTCTGATGGCAACCTGAAGATGTCGGAGTAGATGGGATCTCACAGGGAGAAACTACTGAAGCTAGGAAAGTTGGAAGTGAGGAATTTCAACACCCAGGGGTAAGAACCAGGAGGAATGCAGCTGAAAGAAGCTGAGGAGAGGCCAGAAAGACAGGAATACAATCAAGAAGGTAAGTTGTTTTGAGGAGTGTCAACAGTCCAAATGCAACTGAGACATTGAGCATTTATTAATTACTATTCAAATTTGGTCCAACTCAAGCTGGTCTGGCAAGAATCCCACCAAGATCAAGCTAATTCTAGATGATGCCAGATAGCAAGATACTATATTCTGGAGATTGCTCTCAAAGACTCTGAAAAGAGAATAAGAAAGAAACAGATGTCTCAATTCCACTGTTTTGGTTTCCCATAAGGGGGCCCAAAAGAAACCCAGAATTATTTTTTGGAGGGCAGGCCCCTTGTAATACAGGCTGCCCCTTTAGGTAAGTGTTCTAGGAACCCACCTATATCAGTGTGCCAGCTAGTGTTGTTGTGAGAGGCCGCATTTAGCTTCAGCGGAAAAAAAAAATTTTTTTTTTGGAGATTCTTTTAATGTGTTTACCCTTTTCATGATAGGTGATTTATTATTTGTGCCGAACATGAGCTAGTGGGGTTCTGAGGACATAGCAATGAACAAAGCAGGCAAACCTGTCTCCCCTTAGGCTTTTATGTCATTGTCATAGGTGTAATAAAGGAAAGTCCCAGGGGCCATGACAGCATCACAAATGAGAGTCCTAATTTAGATTCAAGATAGGGGATGAAATCAGGAAAGGATCCTGGGAAGTGGCATGGAAGCTTAGACTGGAGAATGAATTGGGACAGAACTCAGGGTTTCAGAAAGAGAAGAAGCAGCATCCATGTAACCTCTAAATGGAAAGAGGCTTGCCATCTTCTAGAAACTGGAAGGCTACGCAGGTGAAGTGTGAACGTGAGGTGTGGAGTAGTGAAAAACCAGCTTTGTACGGTATACCAGAACCACGTCATGTAAAACCTTTTGGCTTGGTCAGGTTTTGGCTTTTGTCCTAAAAGCCACAGTAAATCACTGGTTTGTGGAGAATGGGTTAAGGGAAGGAGATGTTGGATGGCAAGACCACAGGGACCCAGTAAGAAAATACAGCAGTAGCCTAGATGAGAAAATATGGTGCTTTGTAACTCGATGGAAAGAACGTGAGAAATATATACTCTAGCGTAAAACTGATAGAACTTAAAACATAAATAATGAAGGGAAAAAGTGTCAAAGATAATTCCCAGAATTCTAAACATAGGGATCATCTACTGAAATATGGACCACTAAAGAAAAGCATCTCATTCCAGCACTCTGGGAGGCCAAGATGAGAGGATTGCATGAGTTCAGGGGTTCAAGATCAGCCTTGGTGAGATCTCATTTCTACAATACAACCAAGAAAATTAGCTGGGCGTGGTGGCATGTGCCTGTAGTTCTAGCTACTTGGAAGGCTGAGGCAGGATTGCCTGAACCCAGAAGGTTGAGGCTGCAGTGGCTGTGAACGTGCCACTGCACTCCAGCCTGGATGATGAAGTGAGACTCTGACTCAAAAAAACAACAACAACAAAAAAATACACATCTCTAAGGAAGACCACATACATTTGTATGTATAATCTGAAGAATCCAGTTCCACCCTGATCCTGAATATTCAGCTACCTAATCCTGTTTTCAATGTACTGAACATATTTTCCAAAGTAGAGATTAGTTCTTTAATTTGGAACATGTAGTGATTAACATGGCAACAATTATGATATAAATGTAACATATAATAATGGATGCAACATGCTTCCCAAGTGATACATTAAATATTTTACTAGCATACAAGGACAAATAGATTTTAAAACCTCAAATGAAATCTTTACATTTATTAGTTAAAATTTACCTTAGAGTGAGAAATAATTAAAACAGAGACAAAAAGGCACTTCAAGTGCCATCTCTCAATAAACAATAAGGTAACAATATCTTCCTCTCATCAATGTTACTAAGCTATTAGGCCTAAAGTCTAAGGCTAAAGCTTATACTCATATACCTGAAGCTATGGGAGCAGATGAGATCACATAGGGAGGGGAGATTTTAACTCTATCTGCCTAATAAATATGTCATGACATGCAAGAAGAATGCACGTAAGAAGCAACCAAGCTAATGATTTTCACAGCTGGAGCAAGAGAGCCCTCTCCTGTCCAAGTGTTACATTCACATTGGCTTGAATCTCATTCAGTTACCCACTGAGGTCAAGTCTGATACCCTAGGAATCACAGCCTGTGGCTCCACTTTACTCTCGGCTGAAAAAGCAAATTGGAGTAACCTTCACATCAGCTAATTATGTGCCAGGTACTATGCAAATGCTTAACGAAGTCACTCTTTTTTCAACTTCTGAACAATTCTGTGAGGTATCGGGACCATTTTACACATGAAGAAACTGAGGCTTAAAGAGTTTAAGGACTGCTGAGGAAAAAGTAAACAGCTGACTGGTAAATGTGAATTTAGCAATTATTTACTAAGTACATGTGCACAGCACCATGCTAAGTTCTGAGAACAGATACATGTCAATCTCTTTCATTTCAAGAGACTCAAAGAAAAAAAATCACATAGACCATTATAACTAAAAGCAATGCTATAATTTTATATTTACTTGTGGATTACAGACCGTTTTTTAGTGTTCAAAGTGCCTCTCACACCTTTATTTGATTCTCCACAATAAGCTTGACCAGTATGAAGGCCAGGTATTCAACTAACTCCAACACACATGAGAAAAATAAAACTCAAGTTCAGTGACTTATTCAAGGTAACAAGTCTGTAGGTGACAAAGCGGAATTAGAACACTGCTTGCAATATTTCACCACCTGCTAAAAACAAACCATAACCAACCCTGTTCTTAAAACTCCTGTAAGTCACTGTAAATTCATACCTAAATTCTCAGTTTCCTTTCAACTACCATAAAATGAAATTCTAAATGCATTCATCAATTAAATTATAGATTTGAGATATGGCAGGTTATATTTCATGTTCAGAAATGTGAGTAGACACCATAGCTTCATTTCCTTTTACCTTTATCCTTTCTTTTGGAGTCCTCGTCTGCAGAAGATAATCTGGACTTTTTATATGATGACTCTTCACAGTCCTTTTTAGTTTTATCCTTTCTTTTTTTTGACTTGATTTCTTTTCTCCTATATTAAATGGTATAAAATTAAAGTTAACTTTTTCAGCTGACCCTTACAAAAAATAAAAAACAATTAGTAAGAAAATAAAATCAGCTGGGCGCGGTGGCTCAAGCCTGTAATCCCAGCACTTTGGGAGGCCAAGGTGAGAGGAAGCCTGAGCCCACGGGTTCGAGACCACCTGGGCAACTTGGCAAGGCCTCATCTCTACAATAAATCAAAAACTAGCCTGGCGTGGTAGCTCGCGCCTGTGGTTCTGGCTAGTTGGAAGGCTGAGGTGGAAGGATTGCCTGAACCCAGCAGGTTGACGCTGGGGTGGCCGTGAGTGTGCACTCCAGCCTGGGCGACGGAGTGACATTCCAACTCAAAAGAAAAGAAAAGAAAAGAAAATCAGGTAAAATATTTATTTTTTAAATATAATTTACATAAAAGGAATCTTAAATAATTCTATAAATATTTTAGGCTAGTATGTTAGTTAAGACCGTTCTGTAAGATAACAAAGCTTAAACCCTCTGAGACAATAATTTTTTCTAAGTCCTGTACACAACTTTAATAAATGGAAGTCATAGTTTTATTTGCTTCCTCCTTTCTATAGTCTATCATTTAGCCATAAAAAAGGTATAAAAACAAATTTCATTTCTCGCTACATAATTCATACCCACCTACATGATGAAAAAGCAAACACAAGAAACTACTGTAACAGCTCTAAGCCATCAGTAAGTAGAAATTTCTTTTCTTAAGAATGAAGAAATATAGTAAAAGTATAAGGAATGAAGATGGAAGAGGATTATTTTAAACTGATATATCAACTTTAGACCACTTATAATTGATAATCTTATTATTGCAGTGTTATCTCTTCTAGGCCAGGTTGACAAGGTTGTCAGTACTATCATGGTTGGCAAGCAATTAATTTTAATTGGTTAAGAGAACTAAACAGGAAAAGGCGACAATGCTAACACTGGGACTAGCAAGGAGAACAGAGAGCCAAAGGAAAGATTACTTTCAAAAAACTTGTTTAATAGATTTTCTAAATTAAGGTACGCAAACCAATGCCACAGTACTATTTAAGGCAGTAATAACTTTTGCCTCCACAGAATATTTCAATTTTGAAACGAAGCTCAAAAGTCAAGGTCAAAAAAAATCTCTGGTTTCTTTCAGTGTCTTTAGTGAAAATGGAAAATAAAGGTTTAGGCTATTCAAGTAATCTAACAAATCCTGCTAATTTTAAGAATTAAAAAAATTACTTAATATTTAATTTTGAAGCTAAAATACTAGATAGGCACATTTATAACAAAGCTGGTATTTTTGACAATCCATGCGATCATTTGAAAAAAATCTGATTTTAAAATTAGTATTTTTACATACACATTTTATAAAGTTGCAAAATCTGAACTTTGAACTGCTATTCAGGACATGAAACCTGACCACTTAGCTAGGCGTGGTGGCATGCAGCTTAATCTCAGTACTAGGGAGGTGGAGGCAAGAGAACCGCCTGATCCCAGGATGTCAAGGCTGTGGTGAGCCATGATTGTGCCACTCCACTCCAGCATGGGCAACAGAATGAGACCCCGACTCAAAAAAGAGAAAAGAGAGAGGGAGAGAGAGAGAAACAAACAAACAAACCCAACAACCCACAAAGATTTTGTCTTAACTCATTCACAAACGCTGACATGAATTCACATCATTCCAAATTTGGCTCCTGGTTGCTGCTGACATGAATTTACCTCATTGTGGAAGACTATCTTTCTTGGTTTATAATCCGAATAAAAATACAAAGTACAGCATGCTAGTCAGAGTGGTATCTGAGGCAAATACTGGATATGTCTGCAACTTTCAGTTGTGAAAAAGGTGATAATTTAGAAAAGACCATTTCACTTGATCTTAATGACAGAAGTTTGCGGCAACCAGCTTCAGATTTTTTTTGTTGTTCACACACTCTCGGTATTAGGAAAGTGGAAAATTTGCTGGTCGCGAATGTGTTCAATACCAGGACTATGCTTGACTTCCATGCCAGACGCTATGGCAAGCACTTACATGCACTTTCATTTATTCCCCACATAACCTCAGAATTCTCATTTCTTCAGATGATGAAATTAAGTCTTACAGAAGCTAAGTAGCTGCACAAGGAGCAATCCAATAAGTGGAGTAGCTCAGAGAAACACCTGGGTCTGATTTCAAGCCCATAATCTGATTGACACTGCGTCCTGCAGAACACTGGTATGCCCACACATTCACTATGGCAGATACACTGGAGTTCATGCCATAGGATCCTGGCTTTAACACATGAAATGAATACTGAGGTGTATAACCTGTTGCAAGAATGACAAACTCCAGTTCAAGCACTGTTTAAATCAGACACAAGACCCACTTTATGAAGCCTGCTTTGCAACACGGTTTCTAAGAAGATTAAAGTGTCTGAACACTGGCTCCAAACTAAAAATTTTAGCATCCGTCCACCACCTGGCACAGGCCTGCACATTTAAAATTGCTTGGCTAGAATAGGGCACGGTGGACATCCAACTCCCTGAATTATGAGGTCATACAATAATGCCTGATTATCTACATAATCAACCAATTCAACCATCAACCACCCAAGCCTACTCATGCAGGTAAATGACTATGTCCCAAGATTACTAAACATTACTAAGCATTTTAAAAGATATTACCTGTGATGAAAATTTAATTTAAAGGAACATTCTTGACATAGCCCTAAAAAAAAAAGAAAAGACTGCTGAATGGCTGAGTTTGAATAACTATACTGCTACTCTACTTTTAATATCATATACTCTCACTGTCTTTATATTCTCTTACTATGAGGGAAAACAAATGATCTAAAGAAAACAACCTGACCCTCACCACCTCAAAAAATGCAAATACATGTACACATATAAAACAATGATATTAGAATGCTTGAAGAATTGAAATATTCTAACATTACTTTAGAACTATGTGTTGACAATTTATTCTAAAAGCAAACTGTGCTTCACAGGCAGCACTCATGTGTGTCTCACATCAACACTATCTCATAATAATAATGTGGGCACAGTCATTTCCTCTGAAGTGCTCTAAGAACTTTCAAATGGAAGGGAGCTTTTCAAATAGTTCCTTAATTGTGGGTTCTTCTTTTGCCTTAATCTCAGTCCACACTGGCTGACTTTTCCTCACAAGCACTTCCAGAAGGAATTCAGAAGCCAGTCTGCATGGATGTGTGTAAGTGGCATGTGGAGATATTCCTGACTTTTATCAGGAGTGGCAGAACATTCTGAAGGCACACTTACTTGGGACCCAGAGAAGGCTCAAGGCCACTTACATTATGAAGGAGAGGAGCAGCTGACACATGAAGACTAGTTACAAAAAATAAATAAAAGAATGACAGGCTCTAAAACATCCATGTCAAGGGTAACTGCTTTATTCTGGAGTAATCGTCATGATTTTAAGACTGAAATCAAGAACAATTATGTTCTAAAATTTTCCTTTATTGACATTGTCAAAGAAAGTGAATTTATCATCCATACTACAACAATATCACTAAACAATCACCTCATGTGAGATTTTCCTGATTGCCTGTTCTGATGCTCTGTTTCTTACCATGTAACTTGGTGACATTCTCAATTTAATGGGAAGAGATCTTCACTCTACAAATGATCAGTTTACATTTGACATGAGAATTATTTTACCAAAACATCACTGTGATGCTAAGAACATAAAAATTTTAGGCTCAAAAGTTCTTTGAGATTTCAGGAAGCTCTGAGAAAAAAAGAGCACTTCCAGAAAGATAAGTAAAAAATGTTAACTGAATTTTAAACAGTCTATCTATTTCTAATTTTAAATTAAAGACAAGCTTGGACGACTCAATCTTATTCCCCCTAAAGTCAACTTACTTAATTTAACAAGTGCATTTCTCTTTTCACCATGCTCAATATAACCAAAATTAACTTCCCAACTCTTTAAGCCTTCTTTATTATCGCAATACTTATTTCCACAGAAAAACTGACCTGCAAAAAGGAAAAGAATATTAGCTATGGTAGTGGATGACAATATCTATATGATCTAGTATTATCTCTAAAATTTACTTGTTAAAAAAGAAAATTCTTAGCTATATATAGTCAGCATTAAAAAAATGACTGACCACAATAAAAGCTGAACTGTTACCCAAAAAATCAGTCACAGAATACTTTCTTGATAGACTGTTTATATTTAGATAAAGAGTTTTAGTGACTCTCTATCTAAATATAAACAGAATCTTACTCTTTGGAAAGTGAGAGTACTGAAGAATATATATATTTCTCAGAAAGTTGGTTAAAAAAAAAATTAAATGTACTTTCCAAAGTTCATGCACCTGAATGAAACCTCTAAGTATTTAACAGCAATAGTAAAATTAATATTTTAAGTATTAACATAATGACATTTATTTCAATTTTCTATTTTTAAAAAATATAATAGCTTCTCTGTCATGACATTTATTTTAAATGTTAGTATAAATGGACACTGAAAACATATTTTAAAATTCTAGCACTTTGAGGTGAAGTATAAGTAATCAAACCTGATACTTCAAACTTTAGAATCACTTGACACTTAGATTAACATCACATTATCAAGTCAACCATATATTCAGACCTCCAAAACAAGACCTTACTGATGACTCAAGATTAAAAAAACAAAAACAACTACTCAACAATTATTTACTTTGACAAAAAAAGACAAGATCCTAACTTTTATCTATAGGAAAAAAAATAATTTATATCACAATGATTTGAACCAACAGGAGCAAATCTGAAACCAGCAAAATCTTTTCATTAAAATGTAATAAATTATCAAAATGAATTTAGAAAATTATAATCCAAGAGGCTGATTTCAACCTGTTTTACTTATTCCAAATGAATATTTTATTAAATCTATACATTTAGTAATAGCTTTGTTTTTAAGACAGCAACAATATTTTAACTTTATAAAAGAAATCACATTAGTAGCTTTGTCTTCCCTTCCCAACTACTCATTTATTCAGTTAGATGAATTTAGAGAATAAAAAGGTAGCATTATAAACTTGCCTGAAAATTCCATTTAACAAAAGCACAAAATTCTAAAATTGTGAGACATTTCAGAATCTCTCATTATTTTGGATAAAGACACAAACTAAAATGTAACCCTAAGAAAAAATTAATAGCTTTAAATGTATTCTTTTTTGTTCTCTAATAAAGTGCTTTCAGGGCTGACCCTTTATTACTTATATAAAAAAATTCCTACTGTTTAATTTTGCTTATTTTATTGCATATCCAATTTCACACCTGACATAAAACGTATCCAATTTATGGAAGATGTGCATGAATCACACTGATAGCATAAAATGTTTAATCACTTACAAATGTAACCTTTATTTTCAGTTTAAAATATTTTTGAAATTTAAAATTATCTCCTAAATGCTACTGTATAGTTTCCAGAACTATTAACATTTAAAATATAATTATTCAATAAAAAGCTAATTTTATAGCATGGAGCAGTACAGAGGTATACAATTTCCAGAACAATTTTCTGAACAGGTTATAATAATGCATAAATGTTTGTTTGCTTGCTATTAGACTAATAGCTGAACTCGATCTTAGGGACTCCCCAAAACAAGAACTAACCTGTCCAAAAATTCTATTGAGTTCAAACTGACATTTAATTTCTACTTTCAAAATGTGGGTTTGGCTGAAATACACTAATACCAATTTATTATTCCAAAAACTGAATTTAAAAAAGGAAAAGAATCAAGAATTAATTTGTTTAAAGTTTCCCGCTATGAAATCTTTTACTCTTTAAACATTTTCTATACATCTTCAATTAAATGCTCTAAAGCCAAGATTCTAAAGGTAAAACTCATTAAAGCATTATACTCTGATCTTTGTATCAGAATGTATCACAAATACACCTTCTCTAATGTTACTTTTGTAGATTATTTATTGTATATCTTAGAAGTAATCTTACCCAATGACTTTAATTCAGTAACAACAAAATAAGCTACACCTATTAAAAAACAAAATTTCTTAAAAATGAATTACCTTTTCCAGAAATTACCTCTTTTTCTACTCTCCACCTAAATCCAAACTGATAATAAAAAAATTACATTTATGCCAAAGTAAATTTAAACATTAAATTACACATAAATCTAAACATGGAGCCAATAATACCATTTACTAACCTAAAAAATAAATGCACTTTTGCATAATGATAGCGTTTTCTCTTGTTACAGAATTCCAAGTACTTGAAAATACACTGAACAATTACCAACTTATCTGTTAAGAACTTTTTTGTTTTAAGATGTGGGGTACAATTCAGGGTTAGGTACATAAGTGGTCATTGTACAGGTAGTTTGGGTACCCTTCTTGATGTGATGTGCTCCCTCCTTCCTTCCCTGGCTGTGTCCCACTACTGTCAATCCCTTTCATATAGTAACATGACAAGTGTTCAGGGTCCACTTATAAACGAGTACATGTAGTACTCAGATCTTTGTTTTTGTGAGGAATCACTGAAAATTATAGACTCTAAATCCATCCAAGTTGCTGCGAAATCCATAATTTTGTTTTTCTTTATGGCTGCGTAATACTCCATTGTGGGGAGCAACTTTTTTGAGTCAGAGTCTCACTCTGTGACCCAGGCTGGAGTGTAGTGGCAACTTTTTTGAGTCAGAGTCTCACTCTGTGACACAGGCTGGAGTATAGTGGCATGCTCACGGCTACTGCAGCCTCGACCTCCTGGGCTCAGACGATCCTTCCGCCTCAACCTTCCAAGTAGCTGGAACTAAGACGCACCCAGCTAATTTTTTGATTTATTGTAGAGACGAGGTCTTGCCAAGTTGCCCAGGCTGGTCTCGAACCTCTGGGCTCAGGCAATCCTCTCACCTTGGCCTCCCAAAGTGCTGAGATTACAGGCATGAGCCACCATGCCCAGCAAGAACAACTTTTAAAAAAAAAAACCTTAAAAGTTATAGATGCCAAGCCACAAGATTCCTAAGCCAATAAACAAATAATCTATCTTTTTCTATTATACTGAAAAAAGAGGCTACAGTATAGAAAAAGGCAGTATATTCTAGTGTAAGAAAGTACAGTCTTTGGAGTCAGATTATTTACGTTTACATTTTAGCTTTACCACTTAACAGCTGCATAGTATTGGCGAAGTTATTTAATCTGTTTTTGCCTCAGTTTCCTCATAGATATACAGAGATATGACTATACCCACTTCTTTGCTTGAAGAGGTTAAAATGAGATACTACAGATAAAGCACTTGCAATAGTTACTAATGCACAGCAGATCACGGGTCAGTGAATTATGGCACACAGATTTGCTCTGGAAATGCAACAACATCCATTAATTTACATATGTCTATTTTCACTAACAGTAGGACTCACTAGTGCTAACAGATACCGCATGGTCAGCAGAGCTGAAAAGAGTTACTATCCGGCCCTTTACAAAGAAAGTTTGCTAACCCCTGAATAAATGTTCAGTAAGCATTACTCATTAGTTGTTATAATTATGACCCATGTCTTGCCAAAGGATATAATTGGTTATTTCCCATATACATAAAAAAGCACAGGGTTCAATCATTTTATTTTTTTTGAAAGCAGGATTTATTGAGGACAGTGGGAAGGG